GGCGGGGGGGTGCTGGCACAGGAGTGCGGCCCCCGGCGGTGCCATCTCTTTATGACCCATAAAGGACACACACGCTGGCACCCGTGCCAGCCTTATCTGCCCCTCCAGATCTGTAAATGATCACCCAGAGTCCACCACTGGCTTCAGAAACGACAGTTGCGCTGGTCACACTATGGGAAGCAAGCCATCGGGCAAAGGGGAGCCCAGGACGGAGGGGCTCTGCTGGGCTCCGCCCACGGGCTGGGAGACCCGGCCCAGCCAGGCAGCCCCACTGTGGGAGCCACAGGGCCCATGGCTCTGAGCAACAAGGCCCTGAGGCTTCCATTGCAAGGAGGTGTGTTACTGGTCAGGGCTATCCCAGTGGCTCAGATGGTAGAATCTGCCTGCTGTGCAGGAGACAAGGGTTTGATCCCTGGGTCAGGAAGATCCTCTTGAGAAGAAATGGCTACTCACTCCAGTATTCTTGCCTGGAGAATCCCATGGACAGAGGAGCCTGGTGAATTACAGTCCATGGGGTTGCAAAGAGTCAGACACAATTTAGTGACTAACACTTTCACTTTCAACATAAGTCAGGGCAGCTCCCCACCCTGCCCCCCCAACACACACAAAGGTAATGGCCCAAGTGGGGCCAGGGGCTCCTTCCCTCTAGATGGTGCAGGCCATCGGGGGTCAGCATTTGTAGGGTAAAATGTCCTTGGATGGCAAGGATCCCACTGGAAAAACTGACCCCCATTGTGTGAGAGATGCTTTTTTTGTGCATTTTTGTGAATAGCTTAGCTGCGTCCAAAGTGGTCCATAGGATGGCATAAGCACATGATAAATGGTGAGTGCTGTTATACTCATAATTCACACAACAGGCCTGCGAGATGTGCCTTCTGTCTGGAGCCTAGGAGAACTCCAGGCTCCAGGCTCAGGGGCTCCACTGACCTGCACACCCCCTGCAACACCCTGGAATTCATCATCTCTGCATTTGCAGTGGGGCCGAGGCCTGGCTTCCCACCGGCCACTCCCAGCATGGCAGGGTCCTCAGAGGCAGGCAGGCATGGAGCCCTCTCTTCCTAGGGTCTTGCTGAGATACCAGGAATGTCATGGATATTGTTGTTATCATTCTGTCACTAAGTTATGTCTGACTCTTTGCAATCCCATGAACTGCAGCATGCCTGACCTCCCTGTCCTTCACCATCTCCTGGGGCTTGTTCAAACTCATGTCCATCAAATCGGTGATGCCATCCAACCATCTCATCCTCTGCCACCGCCTTCTCCTCCTGCCCTCAATCTTTCCAGCATCACAGTCTTTTCCCGTGAGTCAGCTCTTCGCATCAGGCAGCCAAAGTACTGGAGTTTCAGCTTCAGCATCAGTCCTTCCAGTGAACATTCAGGGTTGATTTCCTTTAGGATGGACTGGTTGGATCTCCTTGCAGTTCAAGGGACTCTCAAGAGTCTTCTCCAACACCACAGTTCAAAAGCATCAGTTCTTTGGTGCTCAGCCTTCTATATGGTCCAACTCTCGCATCCAGACATGAGCACTGGAAAAACCATAGCTGTGACTAGACAGAGCTTTGTTGGCTAAGGAAATGGAGTGGGGATGGAGGATGGAGTGGGGACGGAGGATGGAGTGGGGAAGGAGGATGGAGTGGGGGGCCTCCCCTGGGGCCCGGGTGTTGGTGGTCAGGGCCCAGAGCCACCCGGAGCCTTGGTGACTGTGAGCATCCTCCAGGTGCAGCACCAGCTCATCCACAATCCAGTCCCCGCCCCTTTCTGTCTGCCCTGTGCCCCCATTTCCTGTTGGGCCCAGCCAATGGGAAACCCCAGCTGGGGATGGGAGGGAGGACAGAGGGAGAGGCTAGGTCTTTCTTGCCTTTTTTAGCTTTGTCCTCAAGTGACTGGGGTGACTGTGCATCTGTCAGGCACCTCCCCTCCAATGGGCTCCCTGCTTCTCCAAGCTGCTGCTCCCGGGTGCAGCAGCGTCCTCCTGGCTCCTTTATCCCGGCTCACACCTCTGCGAAACGTCCCAGCGTTACTTTCCCTTCCTGCATGGGATGCCGCCGCCTACGCGGCCTTGCTGGCTGAGGACCAAAGCCCACTCTCAGGGAGGCTGGGCGGCTGGCACCGGGGGGTGTTGCCCTTGACCATCACCCCCAGGCAACCACAGGAAGTGACCGCCACCCCTCCCCCAGCTTCCTGCCAGAGCTTCTCTCTGCCGCCGGGCACCTCTGGGGGCAGTAGGAGGGCCGCCCTGCCCCAGCAGGCCTCTCCAGGGAGCCAAGAGAGACCAAGAAAGACAGACAGTGGCGGAGAGGAAGCAGCTGACTGTGAGAGGGTTGGGGAGGGGCATGTGTGAGTCTCCCAAAGGCCAAGAGGACGAAGGGCCAGGGATGGGGTCTGGGCCCCTGCTGCCTCCTCACCTGAGACGGCCACCTGGGAGAGGGTGGGTGCTGGTTAGCGGCCAGAGGCGCGGGAGGACCTGCTGCCCAGGGGCCAGGTGAGCCTGCCAGGGAGCCGGGCCCTGGGGTGGCCCCTGCACTCACACCGCCTCCCCCATGAGAGTCAGCATCCCGATGGGGTCGGCTGCCCAGGGGACACCAGGTGTCCAATCAGATGGGAGGGGAGCCCTGCCCTGGATGTGAGACTGTGGTTCTCAGCTGCCCGGGCTTTTGACAAGGGTCCAAGGGCTTAGAAGAGGGCAAGGATGAGGTGAAACAGTCCAGACGGGGCCAGAGGGTGCAGAAAAGCTGAGACATTGTGTGTCTGGGTCCAGCCCACCTGGAACCAGTCTGTAAACCAGACACATCGGGCCAGGTTCCCGGGCTTATAGAACTGGGTTTGAAACACCTAAGCGGAAATGATCCCAACCAGTGAAGCTGGTTGGATGGCATCACCGACTCCATGGACGGTTTGCTCAGTTTGAGCAAACTCCAGGAGATGGTGAGGGACAGGGAAGCCCGGCGTGTTGCCGTCCAGGAGGTCACAGAGAGTGGGCCACGACTGAGCAACGGAACAGCAACAAAAGCTGGAAAGAGGACCATGCCTGGGCACCCTCTGCCTGCCCCCTCACCTCCTTCCTCTCCAGGTTCGGTCCCCTCCTTGGGGCACACGTCCCTGCATACCCTGTCCTGAGCTGAAGCCACAGCTCCAGAGGAATAGACGTTGTAACGTAGCTGGTTACAGAACCAGCTTGGGACCACGGTACAGCGCACAGCAAGGAGCGCGCCCCCCAGAGGTCAGAAGAGTTTAAACTCAAAGTCAGAAGACACGGATTATGCAGAATCTCTGTACCCATCTCCTTTTTCGAAAAAACATCTTTTGGCTGCTCCATGAGGTATACAGGACCTGAGTCCCTGAACCAGGAATTGAACCCACATGCCCTGCATTGGAAATGCAGAGTCTTCACCACTACAGAAGGGGGTGTCAGAGGATGACATGGCTGGATGGCATCACCGATGCAACGGACCTGAACTTGGGCAAACTTCGGGAGGTGGTAAGGGACAGGGAGGCCTGGCATGCTGCAGTCACAAAGAGTCAGACATGACTGGGTGGCTGAACAACAACCACGGGACCACCAGGGAAGTCCCATCTCCGATTTTTAAACATTGAATGCACACCCGCTACAAATCAAACACTACCGAGTCCTTCTACACATATTATTGCATTTAATTCTCATCACAGCCCCAGGGCCTCCCTCACTGCATGACCCTGAACCTCAGGCCCTGCACTATAAAATGGGGCTCCTAATATCTACGTGACTGTCTTAGACTGTGGGTTAAGGGGATCAGCGTCCCAAAGGCTTTAGAAATGGAGCGTTTGTGAACTTCTGTCCCCTGATGGTCCGTGAGCCCTCTGAGCACACGGACCTGCCCTGTCTATCTCACTACCCCAGTTCTCTGGATAAAGCCAGACATGGGGTGAGGGGAACCCCTGGGAAGTTAATTTACTACTTTAATATAAATAATTGGGGGGCTGTGATTTTACAGGTAGACGTAAGAGACATGGGTTCAATCCCTGGGTCGGGAAGATCCCCCGGAGAAGGAAATGGCCACCCACTCCAGTATTCTTGTCTGGAGAATCCCATGGACAGAGGAGCCTGGTGGGCTACAGCAAAGAGTCAGACACTACTGAAGCAACTTAGCATGCATGTGATTTTAAAATAGATCCAAACCACATACAAATGAGCTGCCTTTTACTCAAGGTCAGTTGGCAGGGTTTTGCTGCAGTGTGATAGAACAGAAGTCTCAGTAAATGAACACAATTGGAATTAAGGTGAGTCGCCTCCCCCACCCCACCCCATACACACACTCACCCCATACACACCCTCACTTTAAAGCTCATCAAGAAATCACATAAAGTCAGTGGTGGGAGTGGGTAGAGGGCGCTCTAAACTGTGTTTGGGCTCTTGCCACACGGGGGCACCACCTTAGCTGGTAAACAGTCCTCCTGGTATCCTGGTCTACATGGTCCCTGGCTGGAGGGAGGTCTGTGGACCCCAAGCTCCAGGGGACCAGACACCCTGTGCCGACAGCCAGCAGGTGGTCCCAGGACACGGGGGTGGGTGGAAGGCCCTCCTGGAGGGGCTCAAGGAGGACCAGACCCACCAGTTTGGTGGGATGGGCCAGGACAAACGGGCCAGGAAAGGTCAGTCCCAGAGGTCAGGTGGCTCCTCAGTGGTCCAGGAACCCCCTGGGCCAGTTTCTGGTGTGGTCTGAGATGCTGTCATGTGAGCCCTGCAGAGATGATCCCCTCCGTAACGCTGGGGGTCCAGGGTGAACTTCCAGAGTCAAGCTGCTGGCCGCGAGGCGCTGGGCCGGCTGGGCAGGGCCTTTGTGAAGGAGGAGCCACGCCTGGGCTGGGCTCTCACCTCCACCCACCCATTTGCCCCCTGCTTCTCTTTCCACTTTGTCTGTCCTCAGCCCTGACCCTCACTCTGGGGGTGCCCTTGGAAGGAATGCAGATCCCCCTCCCGCTCCAACCTCCTCCAATGTTCCTGTCCTGCCCTCTCTGCTCAGCAGACAGGCCAGGGGACCCCAGGGACAGACGGCCAGAGACACCTGGCCCTCCTCGTCCTGCGGATACTGCAGCCACAGAGCAACGCCACCAAACCACCAGGGCTGGCTGCCCACGCGTGGGTGGTCAGCATGTGGCAGGACACGAGCTGCCACCCCAAGCAGGCGCACAGCCAGCTGTCCGGGGGCCGCTGGGCCCTCGGACACACCTGGGCGCCACCAGGGCGGGCCTGCTGGACCCTGGCCTTCCCCGCGCCCGCTCGCTCACCGCCTGTCCGCAGCGTGCTGGTGGGCGTGCACGCGCACAGCCGCACCTGGGTCACACACTCACGCGTGCCCCAGGCACGCTGAGCACCTCAGGGAAGGAGACTGACAGTCTCCCGGGCCTGCTGCGCGTGCGTCTGCAGCCCCGTTCTCTGTCTCCCCCTCCCACCCGTCCACTCTCCTCCGTCAGCCCAGCCCCTGAGAACAGAGGGGTCCCCTCCCTCAGTCCTCCCAGGATCCCCCACCCTGGTCACGCCCCAGCATGAGCAGGACACGCCTCTGCCGGTAGCCGCTCTGTCACCCCGGGAAGTCTCTTTGGGAATCAAGGTGACTCCATGTGCCTAAACATAGACCCAGGCCTCTGGCTGGTCGCCTGGGTTCAAATCTTGGCCTCACTCACCTATAGCTTCCCATGTTAACTCTGGGCAAAACTCTCCTAACACCTCTGAACCTCCATCTCATTGTGTTTCAACATCTCAGATACATGCCCAGGTGGAAACACCCCTCCCACTCTGGCATAATTCCAACGTACGTCATCTGCTGCTTCCTCCAGGAAGCCCTCCTTGAGCTCTCCAAGCAGAGGCCGTGCCTTTACCTGCTGGCCACGTTTGTCCTCCCCCACCTCCCATCTCTGTGCCTCTCCACACGTGCTGTAACTCCCAGGGGGCAGGAACTGTGGTGAACCCGGGGCCCACGGCTGGAGGCCACGCAGAGCCAGGCTGGAGGGACCCCAGTCATGTCCCCGGAAGGCCCCGGAGGGAACAGAGAGAAAACGGAACGGCAGGCTGTGGCGGGGCGGCTGCCGCTCCCGGTGGCAGGCAGCGTGGAAGACTCTGGGTTTTCCATATGCCGAGTGCTTCTCCCCTCCGCGGCATTCGCCTGGGAGCGAACTTTGGGTTTGGCAGCGACCCCAGGACTCCGTGTTTCTCTGTTCCTTCCAAAGCTTTAGGAAGCAGCCTCCTGCCCGATGACAAAGTTTGGATCCTGGGGACTCTGTGAAGAGGCTCCCCTCCCCAGGGCGGTTCTCCCTCCCAGGCTACCAGGGCAAATCCCCCTCCTAGTCACCCCTCCCAGGGCAGTTGCCCCACCATTGGTGGGAAGGTCCAGAGAGGGTCCACCTGACCTGAGCCAAGAACCCTTGCCCTGGCCGTGCCCTGGGAGGCCAGCCCCATCTGGGGGACCGACGGCCCTGCCTTTGTCCACAGCTCCTCCAGCCCCCCTCCTCCCCCAGCACTGGCACCGACTCTTGGCTCCACACCTGGCTGTGTCTTTGCTCCATGAACTCCCACCTGCTACAGCCCTGACCCTGGCCCCAGCCTCCAAACCCACCCTGCTGGAGTGAAGAAAGCAGGGTTGAGACTTGGGGTTGACTTATTATGTCCCCACAGAAACTGGGCCTCAGTGTTCTCATCTGTAGAGTGCGGACACCAGCCCAACACAGCAGGGGCTGAGGAGCCCGTGTGCCCGGTCCCACCCTTCCCTCCGCGGTGCCTCTGTGGCCCTGCATGCACCTGCCAGCCCACCCGTCCTGCACCCTGACTCTGGCCAGGCCCAGCCTGGACTGCCCTTTTCCCTCCTCCGCCATTCCAGTGTCTCCTCCTCCAGGAAGCCCTCCTGTTGCCCAGCCTCAGGGGTGGCTCTCCCCCAAGGCCCTCAATCTAGCATCACGCCTGAGTACCGTCAGACTCCCTGGTCCTTCCCTCTGTTCATTTCTTTTCTTCCCATCTCTGAAAGCAAAGATGGGCTTCATCCACATGCCAAGCATGCTGCCTGGGTTGTTAGGGGTGTCCCGGGCCTCAGGGGGCTGGAGAAGCCTGACTCTTCCCCTTTAGGCTGCAAATCACTTCCCTTCTCCAGCCTCAATTTCCCCATCTGTACAACGGGGAAGAAATGGGTGCTGCCTTCTGGAGTGTGGTTAGAACTCCTGGAGGAACACACGTGAGTGCTCACAGAAGTGCTTCATAAATGGCAACAGAAAACAAGCCTCTTCCTCCTCCACCCGTCTTCCCGGACATCAGGCCCTGTTTGGGCATAAACTCCTTGAGTCCCCATCCTAGGCCATCTCTGGTGACATAGGTAATTCTGGCTGCCCACTGGCCCGTCCCTGCTCTGGGCCTTTTCCTGTGAGTCTTGGCACCCCTCCTAGGGCTATGGAAGCAGTGGTCAACGGACACAGCCCCAAGACCATAATTTGAGTCCAAGCTCCTCTGTTTCAGCTGTGTGACCCAGGGAGGGTTACCCAGCTTCTCTAAGGCTCAGGGTCATCATCCATAAAGTGGAGACAATAATGAAGATTAAATGAAAGAATGTATACACAGTGCTTAGCATATATAGCACTGGGCGTGCCTGGTGGCTCAGATGGTAAAGAATCTGCCTGCTGTGCAGGAGACCCAGGTTTGATCCCTGGGTCAGGAAGATCCCCTGGAGAAGGAAATGGCTACCCACTCCAGTATTCTTGTCTGGAGAATTCTATGGACAGGGGAGCCTACAGGCGGGCTACAGTCCATGGAGTTGCAAAGTGACAACTGAGTGACTAACAGTTTCACTTTCACACTTGCAGTGCTTAGCACAGAGGCTGAGCGCTGGTTACTATGACTGTCATTGCTACCATTATTACTCTGGAGGATTGCAGGCTTGGCTTCCAGGGCTCTTCTGAAGGACAGAGAAGCTTCCTGGGGAGGACCTCAGGCCCTGGAGAGATGCATGTGAGCACAGGATGGCGGGTCCCTGTCACTCTCACCCTGGGGACCTGCGGCTGTGCCCAAGATGTCCAGAGTCTTGCCCAAGGCCGTGGGGTGTCGCAGAGACAGTCAGCCCCAGGGGTCCAGCAGTGCAGGTGGCCCAGGCTCTGGCAGCCACACGAGGCCGTGTCTGAGGGTCCCCTGGACAAGGGGGCAGAACCAGAGAGGAGGAGAATAGCAGGCACCTGGGGGACACTCTTGGAATCATCTAGGAACCTTCTTGGGGGGCTTCACTTCCTGTTGCAGCAGGTAGAGCTGAATCAGGGAAATACGTTCAGACTGTGCTCCCAGATTTTATTAATGGGAAACATTTTTTTTTCTTTTTTAGAGGAAAACAGGTGAATTGGGCAATTCAACGTGAGCTTCCATGAGGTCTATGCGACCGCCTCCTGCCCTCTGTGCTCCTAAGGACGCCCTTTCTCTAGACTTACAGAGAAGGGTGCCATTTGTTTACCCGAGTATTGACTGACGGCCCTGCAAGTGCCAGACCCTGGTGATTCCGTGTTGAGCAAAGCCAAGCCCCAGTCCTGCCCATGGGAGTGGACTGTCTGTCAGGGCTCCAGCTGCCCAGATCGAAAATAGTGCAGACTCAGAATCGACCACACAGGCTCCAGTTCAGACCGCATCTCTGCCACCCCCTGTTCCGTGACTCTGCATGACCATCTGTGAAATGGGCGTGCAAGCTGACACATCAGGTGTCCTGAGAAGTTCATCCAAAGATGCTTTTTTATGAAGATTTTTGAAAAAGTAAAACTAAACAATGCACCTTTTCTAATCCTCACATGTGAAAAACGATTTAACTTCCTTTTTAGGTTTTCAACACAACATTCAGGAGTGTGGTCCCCTGGGCAGGGAGAACAGAGGCCCTGGGTGGAAGCAAGTTATAAACAATGTTCTGGTTCTCATGTTGGGTGGCCAATCCTTGGGGTTTATTATTTACAGATTTAAAATATTAATGAAAACACACTTGGCCAGTCATGAGAATCTGGCATAAAGTAAGGACCACAATGACCAAGTCCTGTGTTCCCAGGGTCCACACAAGGGTGAAAACGGGATGATGTGGTGCCTACAGGAAGCCTGGTTCAGAGGAGATGCTTCATGAATGCCTCCTCCCCATCTTCCTTCCTGGAAGGTGACATTTCCCTTGCTTTTGAAAAGCAGATTTATGCTATTCCAGTGAACTTCAGAAGAAACAAAGAGCATGTCTCCCTGGTGAAGAATCAATCTGTTTCCTCCTCGAAGCAGGTCCAAGAACCCCTCAGACATCACACAGGCAGGTGACAGGTGTCTGCTTTGTCTGTCCAGGCAGAGCCATTAGGAATACATCTTTATATAAAGAGGTTTATTACAATGCATCATTTGTCACGATTATGGAGGTGGGCAAGTCAGCAGTCCGCAAGCTGGAGAGTCAAGGAGAGCTGACGTTTCAGTTGGAATTCAAAAGCAGAAGGAGCTAACGTCCTAGCTCAAAAGCAATCAGGCAGGAGGAGTTTTCTCTTACTCGGGGGAGGGTCAGCCTTTTGCGCTATTCAGGCCTTCGACTGATTTGGCGAGGCCCACCTTAGGAAGAGCAATCTGTTTTATTTTTTTTTTCTTTCCAGTGATCTGTCTCTATCTTTTTTTTAAGTGTACATTGGAGTGTCGTTGATTTACAGTGTTGTGTGCATTTCCATTGTACAGCAAAGTGACTCAGCTATGCATTACATGTATCTATTCTTTTTCAAATTCTTTCCCTATTTAGGTTATTAAAAAAATATTGAGCCAAGTTCCTTGTGCTATACAGCAGGTCCTTGTTGTTTACCTATTTTAAATAAAGTAGCAGTGTTAGTCGCTCAGTCGTGTCCAACTCTTTGACACCCCATGGACTGTAGCCCACGAGTGTCCTCTGTTCATGGGATTCTCCAGGCAAGAATACTAGAGTGGGTTGCCATTTCCTACTCCAGGGGATCTTCCCGACCCAGGGATGGAACCTGGGTCTTGTGCATTGCAGGCAGATTCTTTACTGTCTGAGCTACAGGGAAGTCCATTTTAAATATAGTAGTGTATATATATGTCAATCTCAAACTCCCAATTTAGCTCCCTGCCCCTGACTTTTCCCTTTGAAAACTGTAAGTTTGTTTTCTCTGTCTGTGCTATTAAATGTTAATCTCACCCCAAAACATCCTCACAGGAACACCCAGAATAATGTTAAACAAATGTCTTTGGCAATCCATAAAACCCACCATCACAACTGTCAAGAGCTCACATGGGGCTCAGCACTGAAGGACCTCCTCACTTGGGCCCTTAGATCAGGCCTTGCTGAACTACACTTTGGCATTTTCCCCTAATCCAAGACAACGTAAGACGCTGCTAGGAAAGAGAGCTGGCACCTTGAGGTTGCTGACAGCGCCGTCATCCCATCTCCTTGGGGTGTACTTTGCCTGACTTGGTGAATAAGAACACAGCAGGCCCAGCTGAATGTGAATTTCAGAGCACTTGAAACAATTGCTTAGTGTACCAGTGTCCCAGGCACTACTTCTACAACTCCATCTGACTTCCCTACTGTTGTTTCTCCTTTATTCTGATTCCCTCGCTTCCTTCAGGTTTAGGAGATGAACAGAGAGGCTAGGCTTGGGGCTGGGCTCCCTGCCCTGGCTTGGGTTCTGTGTGAGTCTCCCTGAGAGTGGCCACACTATGCGCGCAGGGTCCCTGTGGGACTTCCACCCTCCGCCTTCCCCTCACAGAACTCTCTCTCCCTCCCTCTCTCTCTCTTCGCTCCCTTGGATCAGAGCACGTTTACTGAGCAATACCATCTATATCCACAGCACAGGGCCCATGGCTCCTGTTTCATGAAGACCCAAGCTGCTCCAGGTCACATCTCCCAGGGTGTTCATGTGACCCCAGGGGCACCTGAAGATCAGATGCTTAAGCCCAGGGTGTGAAGAACCTGAGACCAGAATGCTGGTGCCAGGGCCACCCTGCTGGCAAGATGCTCCTGCTTGGGAGACGGACCTACCTGCCTCGAACCGCTTCAGACAGGCTTGTGGGCTGGAGCCTGATCACAGATAAGAGTGTCTGCCTTGAGAGCTAGGAGAACCAGGCTGCACCCCACCTTCCACGCAAGGTTTCTGCGCCATCTTAAATGATCTGCTTCCCCTTGAAAGCTTGTTTCCTCATCACCTTGTCAATCTAACGTTTGTTCTTCTACCCAAAGTCCTGTGACCTTTATGGGTAAAGCAGATAAGCTGGCTGGTGTCAAGGTAGGCAGGGTAGAGAGGCTCATCCAGCCTTCAATCTGCCCCCAGAATAAACACTCATCCGTTTGTTCAACAAACAGAGAAGGTTTGCTCGCTAATGGTGCTTGGAAAACATCCCCCACACACTAGAAACGCTCACAAATGCTGACTTCCAGGGGTGCCAACTTAACGGTGAAAATACTGGAAAGAGTGGTTTGGTCTTCCAAGATCAGATGTTGGCCAAGGCCGTCTGGTTAATACCAAAAGGAGCTAGTTTATTGTGACATTGGCAGGAGCCCACATTTTGCCATTTTCTGTGCATTGTGCTTAGCGGGAAAGACGGAAGAAAGAGGGATAGGCACAGAGATGCAGAGGCCGAGAGATGACTGGTGATAGAGAACCTTCTGGTCCTCAACCGTCCCTGCCTGTACCACACGGACACGAAGTGAATCCTCGCTAGACGGGCATCTAGTGGGTCAGCCATCAACTCCCTCCACAAGCTAAGTTCGCATCATTTTGCTGCTGCCAAATCTCTCCCCCAAATGACAGATTATTATCAGGTTCCCCATAAGAATAGCTTAGAAGGTCTTCAGACCCTCCACCATAGTACTAAAGTCATTTAAGCTGTAAAGGCCCAATAAACTTCAAACTGGGATACTTCTAATAAATCACCTGTGCCTAACATCTTAGTCTATGTCGAACAGATGGGGAAACTGAGGCTCAGAGAGGGAATGTGACTTGTCTGGATTGTACAGACAGCCGGGGTGACTGACAGAGGACAACTCTGGTCCCTGAACCAACTGGAGAGACCGTATAAGTACTCTGGGGCCTCATCACAGGATGCCTGCCCCCTAAACTGCCAAGACACCAGACTCAACCAGCCAGTTCAAAAAGCAAGGGCAGCTTCTCTGCAGTCAGCAAAGCCCTGTCTGTCTGCCCCTGCTTTGGGCCACATGGGCGCTTCTACCTTCGGAGGACAGTGGACGTCCTCACGCCAGTAATTATCAATCCTGTGGCTCAAAAAAAAAAAATCCTGTGGCTCCAAAAACCAACATCAATAACAAACAGACTTTGCCTCCAGTTCTTAGACAATTGGATGCTGGAGAGTCTGTGCTGAGACCACACATACATCCTGATGGCTTTGCTGGCCTCTGAAATCCGGGCTGCACGTGGAGCCCTGCTAACCCCTCCATCAAGCCCTAACATGCTGCCAGCATCTCCCTGGCTCGGGGGCTCTTGTGCTTGATAAAGGGATGGCCCAGGAGACAGAGGAGATGAATTCCAGGAATGTGATCTTTCAACACCCAAGGAGCTGGAGCCTGGGGTGAGAAATTCCTTCCTGCCTCTTCAAGTGGCTTCAGTGCTTCTAGGACATGACAGGGCTGGGCCTTCTTCTAATCCATTCTCATTCACCCACCCAACGGCTAAGAGGCAGAGAGCACTGGCAGTGTGCCGGGCCAGGGGTCGTGGGGGCTCCAGCTCCATGTAGCCCTGCTTCCCCACCACACCCCATGCTCAGGACCCTGTGTCCACCCTCTCAGGACACACATCTCCTGAGCATGTGTCAAGTGATCCCCACCCCCTTGCACCTCCCATTGACCTGTCCGAACCCCTCCCCAGACCATGACCCCCATGGGAGACTCACACAGAATAAGGTCTTTGCTGTTGGCCAAGCTAAGATGAGGTCAGGAAGGTGGACCTTAATCCAGATGCGTGCATGCATGCTCAGTCGCTTCAGTTGTGTCTGACTCTGTGTGACCCCATGTAGCCCATCAGGCTCCTGTGTTCATGGGACTTCCCAGGCAAGAATACTGGAGAGGGTTGCCATTTCCTCCTCCAGGGGATCTTCCCGACTCAGGGATCGAACCTGCATCTCCTGTATTGGCAGGCAGATTCTTTACCCCTGAGCCACCAGGGAAGCCCCATCCAATATAACTGTGTCCTTATATAATGGGAAATGTGAACACAGATGCACACACACACAGACAAAGCCATGTGCAGATGAAGGCAAAATTAGAGTGATGTGTCTATAAGCCAAGGAAAGCCAGAGGCTACCAGCAACCAGCAGAACTCCATCATGCATGAACACCTGACGCCCCACGCACTGCTAGGTCCGCCTCTTCCCCCACTGCCTTTGCTCCTGCGGTTCCTTCTGCCCAGAACGCCCTTCTTGCCGTCCGGCACCCGTGCTTCCTTCATTCACTCAGCACCGCCCCAGCGGCTGTGCAGGTTGCCCCAGAACCCCAGGGGTCTGCCGCCTCCTGACCTGCTCTACACTGCACCCCATGGGTGTCTTTAAAATGTACTAACAAGCAAGTGCCTCACCCGCTCAGAAACCATCCATGGCTCCCACTGCCTTCCCCCTTCCTGAGTCTGCCCCCCATCGTCCGCCCCTCTCAATCACAGCCCGAATTTGTCCTGTGCCCTCCTGGGGGCTGGATGCACCTGGGTTTCACTTTCTGCTCCCATGTGACCTTGGAGGTGATACCTGCTCACTGAACAGCAACCGCCCCCCCACCCCCACCAAGTGTCAACAGGAAGCTTGAACTACAGGTGTTTCTGAGCTCCCTTAGGGCTCCCAGGTCTGGATGCTGGAGGAAAAGCACATTGAGAACATCCCACCACGCCCTCGGGGAAGGGTCTGGCTCCTCCTGCCCGCAGCCTCTGAGCACTGGTACTGTGACCCTAGTGTGATCTGCAGAAACCACTAACCTTTGGAGTCTCCGAGAGGATTAAAATAGGAAACTGTCTCCGCCTCCCACACGGGGTAGACGGTTTTCACAGTTCACACGGCACGTTGGCTCAGCGAGCCACGGCTGCCGTTCCAGCATTTTCAGGCTTGGCGATCAATACTTAAAAATGGATGAAAAAAAAGAGAGAGAGAGAAGGTGAGTGGTGGTGGCGACAGGAGGTCTGCTCCCCGGGGCCTCCACGTGCCACCAGAATGCATCCTCTTGTTTCTGAACAGGTCTGAGGTGGGACGTCTCACACACACACACACATGAGTTAACATGCATGCAGACATCCCAAGTAATGCCTGTAAACACTCAAATGCACCAACATCCACAAACCCGCACACAGCCAAACACTCACATCCACCCTCCGCCACCCACAGGCGCGTCCACCGGCCACACACACACGCCACGTACCCATGTGCATGCACCCGTGAGCTTGTATGCACACTCCCCCTCGTTGTCTGACCTGCCTCTGAGCGAATCCACGGGATGGCACACGAAGACATGAGCCCCACGTGCCTCCTCAGCTACCTGAGAGGCACACAGCACACGGGGCACCCAGGAGGACCTGTCCGTGGGGCGGGTGTTCTGCGGGGTGGATGGAGCTCCAGCTTCGGGGCTCCCCCCCGCTGCGGGGTCCCTGGGGGGTCTGGTCAGAGTGGAGGTCCGGTGGGCGAGGGGAGCCGCAGAGGTCAAGGCCAGGAGTCTGGCCAGGGCGACCACTTCCTCGAGGAGACGGAGGAATTCAGATGCCCGGAGCCAGGCCTGGGGAGCGGCTGGACGGCCTTCACCCGCGGCATCCTGCCAACGAGGAAACTGAAGCCCAGTGGTGGAAAAGACACTCCGCCCACCCCAGGCTGGCCACCTTTTCACACCCGCTGTCCTCACCTCGGGGGTCCAGATACAGGTGACCTCTCCTCCTGGCGGCCAGCCCGGCGATAGGAAGGACTTCAAGGCTTGACCTCAGTCCATGTGCAAAAGGCTGGTCTCCAGGAAGCGCCGTTTGTTCACTGGACACAGACAGAGGGCTCCCTCCTACGTGCCAAGGCCCCAGGGGGTGGAAATGAAGGATGCAGTCTAGAAGATGAAGGCCTTCCTGGGGTGGGGGGGCTGCCCTGACAGAGCTGAGCTGGGGTGGGGGTTTGGGTGGGGCTGTCAGGAAGGGGACTCCAGAGGCTTAGGGAAAAACACGCAGAAGCTACGAGCGGTGCGGGGCAGGAGCCCTGAGCGGGCGCAGGGGCGCTGACACTCGTCGCCAGCTTGCCTGGGCGCGGGGTGGGCTCCTGGCAAGCACAGCGTTTCTTCTGGAGCTCCTGGCTCCAAGAACCCAGAGGAGGAACTTCCCTCGGCTCCTAGCTAACAGTTTGCATTCTGGGCAACCTTTACCATCTCCGAGTTACGTGCTCGGAGGAGATCTCAGGGTGTCGCGCTGACATTTCAACTCCTCCAAGTGGCTTGTCACCTCCGTGTTTTATTTCCATGCGGCACCGAAGAGGGTGGTGTCTGGCCAGCCGCGGAGCCCAAGGAGCGGGTCTGGCCTTTTCTTGGGGAACATTTGAAAGGCTCTTGGCAGAACCCCGAACGCATATGGGAGGGGGCTGGCGGGCCCACTGGAAGAACTCCAGAGCAGGAGAGAAGAGAGTTCCAGAAACCCTGAGGACTTTCTGAGCTTCCAGTCTAAAGAAAGCACCTGCTGGCAGGCTTCCCCTGGCGACGGGGTCAAGGCAGGCAGGGCTGGACATCTGTGAAAGGTGACCGCCCGTCAGAAGCAGTGGACTCAGGGGCCGGCGGGCGGGACCTGTGTTTTGGTCCTAGTCCCACGCCTTTCTGATTGTGGGATTCTTGTCTGCTTGACGAGGGCCTCCGAGCTTCAGTCACGTCACTTCCAAAACTGGGATAATAATAAATAGCTCATGGGGGTCCTGTGCTCTGTAAAAGGCCCATGCTTTTAAAGTGGAAAAACATCTGTGCAGGAAGGATGATGACTTTCCTTAATGACAAATAGGATGGGGAGACGGGTTCAGGATGATGGGGGGGGACACATGTATACCTATGGCCAATTCATGTTGATGTATGGCAAATCACAATATTGTAATTATCCTCCAACTGAAATAAATAGATAAATTTAAAAAAATAGGATGGAAGGGTGGACCTGTATCCCTGAGTCATCCCCAGGAACAGAGCCACCCACCAAAGGAGCCTGCTCGCCCAGGGCCAGTGGAAGTGGGACCCCTCCCATCTTCACGAAGCCACTGGGTTTGTGGGGGCACCTTGGTTAGCAGAGCTCAACCCTCACCCTGACTCACACATGCTCCTTTGCGGGTCACCCTCACAGGATGGCATTTCATCCTCTAAGCATCATTTCACATGTGATGTGATTGCCAACGGACCAGCAGGCTGGGCAGCGTGCAGGTCGCCTGGGGAGACTGGAAAAGGCAGAAGCCAATCTGGAGAGGGCTGAGGGTGGAGCGTGAGAAAAGAGAGTGAACAGAGCAATTCTTACAGGAAGTCCTCACCGGAGGGCCATGCAGAGTCAAGGGAGGGTTTTGTTTGTTTGTTTGTTAAAGATTTTGAGCTGATTTAAGTATTACTGGGAAGGAACCAGATGTGGGGAGGGGCCAATTAATTGATTGTATTAGGTCCCTGAGAAGGGAGGAGATAAGTTTTGATGCATGATGGAGGTATCAGTCTTATGTAGAGGAGTGGACCCATCTCAGGGAGCTGCTATGGATAGTTAACATAAACCTATGGTGAACCTAGACAGCATTAGGTTCTAGAAAGCAGAACCTAAGGAAACAGAGACATCGCTTTGCCAGCAAAAGTCCATATAGTCAAAACTGTGGTTTTTCCAGTAGTCATGTTGGGATGTGAGAGTTGGACCCTAAAAAAGGCTGAACGCCAAAGAATTGATGCTTTCAAACTATGGTGCTGGAAAAGATTCTTGAGAGTCCCTTAAACTGCAAGGAGATCAAATCAGTCAATCCTAAAGGGAATCAACCCTGAATATTCACTGGAAGGACTGATGCTGAAGTTGAAGCTCTAATACTTTGGCCACCTGATGTGAAGAGCCAATTGATTGGAAAAGACCCTGATGGGGAAAGATTGAAGGCAGGAGGAGACGGGCGTGACAGAGGATGAGATGGTTGGATGGCATCATTGACTCAATGGACATGAGTCTGAGCAAACTCCAGGAGACAGTGAAGGACAGGGAAGTCTGACATGCTGCTGTCCATGGGGTCGCAAAGAGTCGGACATGATTGAGCGACTGAACAACAAAACAATATTAAGTCCTTAGCAACTTGGTGGCACATAGCAAAAACTATTTCATATTAAATAATATTATTGAAGAAAAGGAATAACTGTTCATTTGAGCCAAAGGCCTTTTAGATATCTATTGTTGTTGTTTAGTCACTAAGGTGTGTTCAACCCTTCTGTGACCCCATGGAGAGGAGCCTGACAGGCTCCTCTGTCCATGGCGATTCTCCAGGCAAGAATACTGGAGCAGGTTGCCATGCCCTCCTCCAGGGGATCTTCCCGACCCAGGGATCGAACCCATGACTCCTGCATTGGCAGGCGGAGTCTTTGCCACTGAACCACTATTGAGATATAACAATATATATCTGTGATACGATTTCTTATACTAATAGATTTTCCTTAACGTTAAAACATTTTTACATTCCTGGGACAAGGTCTACTGGACTTGGATGAATAATTAACATGTTATTGAATTTGACTTGTGAGGATGTTATTTAGATTTTTAACATCTGCATTCACAAGGGAGACTGTGTAATCTTGGTGACAAGATTACTTTAACTTTGTAATAGTATTTGGGTAAATTTTGGTCTTTTCTATGCTTTGGAAGAGCTATACATCTCTTCCTTAAATATCCTAAACAACTACATACAAAACTATTACTACTTGACCCCACAACCTTCTTTTAAAAGTGCCCATCAGCAGACGAATGGATAAGAAACCTGTGGTACATATACACAATGGAATATTACTCAGCCATTAAAAAGAATTCATTTGAATTAGTTCTAATGAAGTGGATGAAACTGGAGCCCATTATACTGAGTGAAGTAAGCCAGAAAGAAATACACCAATACAGTATACTAACGCATATATATGGAATTTAGAAAGATGGTAACAATAACCCTATATGCAAGACAGAAAAAGAGACACAGAGGTATAGGACAGAATTTTGGACTCTATGGGAGAAGGCGAGGGTGGGATGATCTGAGAGAAGAGCATCAAAACATGTATATCATCAAGTGTGAAACAGATCGCCAGTCCAGGCTGGATGCATGAGACAAGTGCTCAGGGCTGGTGCACTGGGAAGACCCAGAGGGATGGGATGGGGAGGGAGGTGGGAGGGGGGATCGGGATGGGGAACACATGTAAATCCATGGCTGATTCATGTCAATATATGACAAAAACCGCTACAATATTGTAAAGTAATTAACCTCCAACTAATAAAAATAATTGGGGAAAAAAATAAATTTTAAAAAGTAGTTTTATATAATATTCAATCATTTATAAAATATTTTATATTATTTACATTTTTGAAGTTTTTATACATTCACAAAAGTGTTGGTAATCTACCATGTTCCAGATAATTGCATATTTTCTTTGAGATTTGCAAAGTATTTGCATAATTATATATATTATTCTTATTGTAAACTACCCTTCTGAAATTATATCCTTTTTATCATATTGTTTGTATTTCATATCTTTTTATTTAATTACAGTCACTAGATTACTAAAGGTTATTTTTTCAAATTGACTCATGTTTATATGTCAGCTCCATTTTTCACTACATTAAGTTTGGCTTCATCTTTTTTTATTTTACCACCACAGTGGGTAGCTATTCCCTCCTCCAGGGGATCTTCCCGACCCAGAGATTGGACACAGGTCTCCTGCTTTGCAGGCAGATTCTTTACCATCTGAGCCACTGGGGAAGCCCCTTTTTATTTTATTGGGGTTGCTTTTCCCTTCTTTCCTGATTTATTGAATTGAACACTTAAATCATACATATTTTAACTCTCTTCCTGGATAAATAATTCATTTAATAACTATGGGTCTGCCTGGGAGAATATCTCTATTCATATCAGGTAGCGTTTTTATTTTCATTAGTTTCAAAGTAGTCTGTAACTGTATTTTGTACCTCTATGTTCCCATTGTTATTAAAAAGACTTTTAAAAAATTAGTTATTTATGGTTTAATTTTGCATTGATCAGAAAATGGGACTTATGAAATTTACATTTTAGGGAACACAGTAGGATTTTTATGACCTAGCATATCCTCCACTCTGGTCAATATCCCACAGATGCTAGAAAATAAGGTAAATTCTTTATTTGTGTGTAAAATGGTAGACACTTGGGAGTTCTCAGCAGTACAGAGGTTAGGACTCCACACTCTCACTGTCAGGGCCAGGGTTCAATCCCTGGTCAGGGAACTGAGGTCCCGCAAGCCACACGGCACGGCCAAAAGTTTTTACAGTAGACACTTCATTAATATTACTATTCTGATAGTTTCGACCTCTTTTAAATTGTTTAACTCGTTTCCAGCCTTCTTTCTGTTGTCTTATTTTCTGCTTTCTGCTTCTTAGTTTCCTTGTTATCTTTTTCCTCCATTTCCTGCTGTCTATATAAGGAATTGCTCGCTTTTACCTCTCCCCCTGGAGGAGGAGGAGGGAGGGATGATGGGGGAAATGTTTAGGTGTGATGATTTGCTCACAGTCTCAGGGGGGATGATGGCTGCACAGGTGCACACCAATGCCAAAACGTGTGAAATTTTATGTCTGAAATACATGCAATTATAGTATGTTGATTATACCTTAAATTATACCATTTTTAAAAATGCCTGCCGCATAGCTCCAAAAGACCTGAACACTCACTGGAGGTCAACCCCGTGGAACCCCGGCTCCCTCCCCATCAGAGGCC